ACCTAGTTAATTAAGACTTTAATAGACCTCGTCAAGACCACACCAGACCTAATTAAGACTACAATAGACCTCGTCAAGACCACACCAGACCTAGTTAATTAAGACTACACTTCTGGTGTATATATTAAAAATTTACTCTAATGAAGAGTATTGTTCGAGAATAAAGTATCTTATGTTCCACTGAAGGAAAACGCAAGGAATAGCGACCCTAAACAGGCTTTATATCATAGATATATAGTGTTTATATTCTGTTGGTTTGGTAGTTCCATACGATAGATTTCCGATAGTTTTAATATTAGTGTTATTTTAAGGTAGTTAATAGCTCATGAATGTGTTAAACATTCTTCCAAGGATGAATTAATGATACAGAGTTGAGTTCGGTAGATTTATTATGCAATGTAAACCCGTCCTGTGGACGTTAGTCAACAGATTACAGAGGTGCAATATAAATTCATTCTTTGGGAATATAAACCCATTCTGAGACAGAGGATCCACCGTCAGGAGTCTGCAGTCAGAGATGATTTATCTTTCTACCCTGCAGGAGAGATCTGAAACAAGATAATTTGAGGAACATAGAAGTTGTGGAGAGTCTGGTCCATGTTTTCTCTGCCCTGCGCCACAGCGAACCTGCCACGGTCGTCGTCAGAGAATTCACGGTAAATAGTTATATTCTTTTTTCTGAGGCACAAACATATACGCACAATTTGCCTCCACGATTCAATTTGCACCAGAGATAAAACATCATCTGAGATTTCTAAACTTTCGTTATCCCTCTTAAACAGCCCCGTTAATTAAATTGAGACATTCCCGTTTTCCCTACCTATTAACAGAGTATCCTGGGCAAGTATGATCATCAGTTCCAGGGCAGGAAGCAACAGGACGCTCATGATTTCTTGTGTGTGGTTCTGGCCTGTCTTCATGACGCTCTCAGCATGGTAAGTAGAGGGCAGCCTCAGACGTACTGCTAAGTTGCTGATGCTTCTCTCTTTATATGCACCTTGGAGATATATACTTATATAGTGCATGGTTTGTAGTTTTTATTCTTTGCTTTCTTACTAACTTTTGTTTTAGCAGTTACTTGCAGGTTTTTTTCCCATACTTAAGGCCTTAGTTTGACCTTCCTTCATCTCAATGTTTTCTTTTCTTAACCCCTCCCCTCCCCTTCCCAACCACTACCAGCATACTTAACCAACCACCGCCATTCCTAAGCAGCTTTGCAAAAGCATTTGACAAATGCGATCATGGCGTAATAGCCCATAAAATACGTGCTAAAGGAATAACTGGGAAAGTGGGGAGATGGATCTTCAACTTCCTAACAAATCGAACACAAAGAGTAGTGGTCAACAGAATTAAATCGGAGGCTGCCATAGTGAAGAGCTCTGTTCCACAAGGCACAGTACTCGCCCCCACCTTATTCCTTATCCTCATATCAGACATAGACAGAGACATACACCACAGCACCGTATCATCCTTTGCGGATGATACTAGGATCTGCATGAGGCTGTCATCTGCTGAGGACGCGGTTAACCTCCAGGAAGATATAAACAAAGTTTTCCAGTGGGCAACGGTAAACAATATGATGTTCAATGAGGACAAATTCCAACTACTCCGTTATGGAAAACTGGAGGAGATAATAACTAGAACAGAGTATACTACTGACTCCGGCCATACAATAGAGCGGAAAAATAATGTAAGGGACCTGGGAGTAGTAATGTCTGAGGATCTCACTTTCAAGGATCACAACAGTGCCACGATCGCACGTGCAAAGAAAATGATAGGATGGATAATGAGAACTTTCAAAACGAGAGATGCCAAGCCAATGATGATCCTTTTCAAATCACTTGTTCTCTCTAGGCTGGAATACTGCTGTACATTAACATCTCCATTCAAAGCAGGTGAAATCGCAGATCTAGAGAGTGTACAGAGATCCTTTACTGCACGTATAAGTTCTGTCAAGCACCTTAACTACTGGGAACGCTTGGAAGCACTTGACTTGTACTCGTTGGAACGCAGGAGGGAGAGATATATCATAATCTACACTTGGAAAATCTTGGAAGGAATGGTCCCAAATCTGCACACAGAAATCACTCCCTACGAAAGTAAAAGACTGGGCAGGCGATGCAAAATGCCCCCAATAAAAAGTAGGGGCGCCATTGGTACACTAAGGGAAAACACCATAAGTGTCCGGGGCCCAAAACTGTTCAACAGCCTCCCATCAAGCATTAGGGGAATTGCCAATAAGCCCCTGGCTGCCTTCAAGAGAGAGCTGGACAGATACCTAAAGTCAGTGCCGGATCAGCCGGGCTGTGGCTCGTACGTTGGACTGCGTGCGGCCAGCAGTAACAGTAGTTGATCAGGCCCTGATCCATCGGGAGGCCTGGTCATGGACCGGGCCGCGGGGGCGTTGATCCCCGGAATAACCTCCAGGTAACCATCACCCTCCCTGAGCAACTACCACAACAACCATCTCATCCTCCCTTACTAACCACTATCACTATCCCAACCTGCCTCACCATTCACCACCACTCCACCTCCCCACCAATAGGGTCCACATCCCCAGGAAGTCTCCATCATCTCTCAGATCTTTCACGGGGAGCAGGAGTTTCGTATCGTGTGCCCGAGGTCCCAGAGAATCATCTCTTGTACCAGAGAACCCTTCGTCAGCCTCAGCCTCGCCGTCAACATGACCAGGAACTGGTCTCTGCAGGTTAGTTGCTGCTTTCAGTAGGTCTCCTGGTCTGTAAGATTAGCTGTTTATGTAGCTATCAGCTTTCGGTAAGTCTCCTGCTCTGTAAAATCAGTTGTTGCCACAGCTATCAGCGTTCAGTGAATCACTTCAAGGTTACCAAAAGGTCCAGTGGCGGGTCATCATATAACTAAGACCCGCTTCAGAAAACACTTGTGCTGCTTCCTGATGAATCTAATCTAACTTCTGAAACTTTTTTTCCCAAACAAGAGATCTTAGGGGAAAATTGAATATTTTTTTGTGAATGTTCATTGATTTAAGGGCTTCTTGTAAATGTTCATAACTTAGAGCTGCCTTGACGTTCTTCCACACAGGACCTTCTCAGAAACCACTTCAGAATGCAGGGAGTAGAATGGCAGTGTGAAGTGTGTAAACGAGAGCACCTTTGCTACAAGTACACCTTCATTGTCGTTCTACCAGTCGTTCTCATCATTCACCTGAGTAGGTGAGTCATTCTACTTGTGACACTGATCATTCACTTCAAGTGTTGCCCTCCTACCGGTGAAGGGCTCTTCCTTATTTCTTAGATCAGACCTGATTGCCTCCTTTATTCCCAGGTACGAGCACCTAGCCCTTCAGGGCAGGAAGAACCTTGTGGAGTACCCTGAGAAGGACCTGCTTGTCAACAGCTACCCATCAGTGGACACATTCAGGTGGGTCTGTTCTTCAGAGAGCCATTACGCTGGTGAAGGGCTCTTGAAGAGTTGTATGAGGGCTCCACAAGGGCTCTTGAAGTCTTCAAGAGCTGTTGAGGAGATCTTAAAGAGTTCTTAAAGGGGTCTTAAAGAGTTCTTGAAGGGGTCTGAAAGAGCGCTTGAGGAGCCTGGGTTTTAAGAAACGTAGATGCTAGGAGCCTGGGCACCGGATGGTAGGAGCCTGGATGCTAGGAACCTTGGTGCTAGGAGCCTGGGTACTGGATGCTGGGAGCCTGGGTACTGGATGCTAGGAACCTGGGTGCTAGGAGCCTGGGTGCTAGGAGCCTGGATGCTAGGAGCCTGGATGCTAGGAGTCTGGGTGCTGGGAGCCTTCATCCATAGATTTTATTCATCATTAAGAGACGTAGAACCAAGATTCCACTCCTACTTCTAAAGGCCCACACGGGTTTAACACCATGTACAAACCAATTTTCACGCACTCCGCTGTATAGCCCTTGTGGCTTAGCGCTTCTTTTTGATTATAATAATAATAATTCATGCACCTCCATGAATTACGTGTTAAACCCGTATGGGTCATTGAGCACGAGAGGTGGAGGTTCCATCCTCCGGTTTGGTTTATCTCTTTATTGATGGTCAGTAACGACAGGTTGATGGCTGGTAGGTAAAAGGACACAAATGTACCTAATGTGATATTTTATTGTGGCAACGTTTCGCTCTTTGGAGAGCGAAACGTTGCCACAATTAACATTATTCCACGTTGATGACTATAAGACGCATGTGCAACACTTAGGCCTTGTTTATTGCCGAAACGTTTCGCCTACGCAATAGCCTTAGGATTGAGGGACTGATCACCTGCTACCAAGGTGATGGACTGATGACGTCAAAAGTACTTCTACTGTCTACAATTTATATTCTCCTGTATTCGAATGAAGCAGCCTGCTACGCAGGAGAAACGTTGCCTACAGACAAATATCTACAAGGTGTCTAGTCTTTAGAACTAAATGGACGGAGTATGACCCACACGGGTTTGCCGTTTCATATTAATACAATAATAATAATCATACCGTATGTTTTCACGTGAATATAATGGTTTACAATACCGAAACGTGTTGGAGCAGTACTCCTCTCCACGTTGAGGGACTGACCACCTCAAAACTACGTATTCAAGGGTGATGGACTCATTACATCTTTACATCGCTATTGTTTCTGCTACCTCCTCTGTACTCGACTGAAGAAGCCTACTGTGTAGGGGAAACGTTTCAGAATAAGTTACGTAGCTATCGCACACGTGTCTTATCACACTTTATTACGACCAATTAAGTTAAGTGTCGCATATGTTTGTTATTAATTACTTTATTACGACGTATTTCATGCCACAGGACGACCACCTACAACCTGGTGAGTGCGTGTTACCACGTAGGTACGACCACAAGCGGCCACTACAGCGCCTCTTGCCTGAGTAAGGATGACCAGGTGTGGTACCTGTACCAGGATGACCAGGTGGTGAGGCAGGGTGGTCGCCACCACCGTGCCGCCCACGCCGCCCACATTCTCTTCTACTACGCTAAGTGTGAGACCGACCCCAGACCTAACCCACGACAGTGGGACAAGTCCATGGTCCCTGGACCAGCCCTCAGCCGACACTAACGACTGTGAGACATGCAGAGTCGGATCTTCTGTGAAACTAACGAAGCTTAACCTTTAGGGCCCCTCATCCCGGAGCGACTTTTGTCCACATTGCTTAAAAATTTTGAGTCTATGAGGTTTTTTAAATAATAACATTAATAATATAGTGTAATTCAATACAAAATAATAGTTAAAATAAAAATGATAAGATTATTAAAGCATTATGTAGGTCTAGCCGTTGCTGGTTGCCACAAAAATGTAGGTCCGCCACTGGGCGCATGTCCTAGGCCCCTGAACCCAACGGAGGACTTAACCAACAACCTTTTGGTCATCCCGAGTTATAGTAATAAGTAATGGTAGCGCTCCAGTTCTGCTGGAAGGACAACTTGAAGGTAACGTAGATAATGAAACTTCACTGGAATACTTGATGATATCCCCCATTGCCACACTGGAGTCTCGCAGCTCAGACTAACACATTTTATTACCATACGTAAGACACCCATTGTGGGGATTAAATTACCTGCATGAACCTCATTATATTCATACCAGTAATTTAATGAATGCAACAAAGATAATTATTTCTTACCAAATGCTACAACTCTGAGGCATTTAGGAATATTTTGAGACACCGTAGGGCACCAGGAGAATGTCTCCCTTCGACACCCACTACCCTCATACATTCCCACAATCTACTCTGCACCTATAAATATAAACTTCAAATTTAAAAAACACAACCAGTAATTCTGGTAATAATATTTACATTAAAATTGTGTGGACTGTATAAATGGAGTAAATTGACAGAAGGAAGGGGGGGGAGTGAATACATGTATTTATACATATGAGAAGGAAGGGGGAGGATTGGTTCCCAACATATACGTTTCACCTTGTACCTGCTGCAAAACTTTAAATAACGGTTCAGACTCGTAGGTGAATTTTTCTTCCATTGACACCGTATTTCCTGTCGGTGGTTCTTCTGCAGATTTGCTGTTCTGAGACTTAATTTTCTGATTAGTTTTATTGATTTTCTTCTTTGTCATATTTACTATTCCTTGTAAGTTAATGTTTTTTTTTGTGTAGAACATCACAAGACCTTCTCATGTTAGTGCTAACAGGATATCTCGAAGTTCTAGTACTGTAAGACCCAAGACATATTTTAGGTCGATGGCCGTCATAGCATGATAATGAAAAAGAACTTCAGTCACCCAACAGGTCTTCGTAGAAAAAATAACATTTTGCAGCCATTCTAGTGAGCTCTTGCAGTCTGTCCATGACTCAAATTTGTCTGGGGGTGGCCTTATGTAGCAAGATAACCCACAACCCCTGCCTAGATATGAGGAACCTAACTGGCCAGAAGTTCAACATATAAAGTGTCGTATACTTAGCTTTGGGTGTGATGGCTCCTTATTATCCCTTTTTAACATCTACTTTCTAAGTCCTGCCAAGTCGTTGGTTTCGCACATTTTGCAGGACCGTAATTCTGATTCTTCTTGTTCCTATTTGAGAGGCTTAAACCACATTTAACCTCCAGAACCACTGAATAATTCCTCAAATTTCACTGTCGTCTTGTTCCTCCAATTTCAATATGGCGTCCTCGTCCCAGCCGACACTACGTGTTTGCTGGTTCCCTTTTTAATTCCCAAATTAATTTTAACCAACAACAATGCATTTCATTGAATTACATGCTAATGCACTATGCGTTCAGAAAATTCAAAATATTTTCCACACCCATCCTGTGTGATGGAATATTACAGGAAACCCATCCTGTGTGATGGATATGACAGGAAACCCATTCTGTGTGATGGATATGACAGGAAACCCATCCTGTGTGATGGAATATGACAGGAAACCCATCCTGTATGATGGAATATGACAGGAAACCCATCCTGTGTGATGGAATATGACAGGAAACCCATCCTGTGTGATGGAATATGACAGGAAACCCATCCTGTGTGATGGAATATGACAGGAAACCCATCCTGTGTGATGGAATGCGACAGGAAACCCATCCTGTGTGATGGAATATGACAGGAAACCCATCCTGTGTGATGGAATATAACAGGAAACCCATCCTGTGTGATGGAATATGACAGGAAACCCATCCTGTGTGATGGAATATGACAGGAAACCCATCCTGTGTGATGGAATATGACAGGAAACCCATCCTGTGTGATGGAATATGACAGGAAAGCCATCCTGTGTGATGGAATGTGACAGGAAACCCATCCTGTGTGATGAAATACGAGAGGGAAATTTAGTTAGCATTTGTTCCCATAATTTTATATATACTCTGAAGGATACACACTGCTAGAAACACTCAGTAGATACATATTCATATACTAAGATAGATATATACACTCTCAGTGTAAATACTGTAAACTGAGACATACGTACCACTGACTTCTCTCAGTGTATATACACTGCGAAACAATCATGCTTGTCAGTGTAAATACAGTGAGATTTATGATACTGTAATACATTAAATATTGGTTATAAAAATATTATTCATTGATAAAATAAAAATTAGTAGTTAATAATAACACTGTTACTACTACTATCGCTGTTTCTATTACTGCTACAACTACTACTACACTACTGCTACTAGTACACTATAATACTGCTACTACTACCATTACCACTACTACCAGTACTACTACTACCATCACTGTTACTACTACTACTACTACTGCTGCTGCTGTTCTTACAATAATAATGTTTCACTAGTAGTACTTATAAAATCACGAACTGAATTACAAGCATCAAACTCATGTGGATTACAAAGTATTTTTCATATAAGTGAACATTGTGTAATGATAATAACAATACAGTAATTACATTTAGAGTAATAAAACTATCAACAATAATGACTATACCTAAATAACAGCAGTAGTGTTACTAGCTGAATGTTTCTCATCTTTTAATGTCATGTATAAGAGAATTAATACTTTTCAATAAATTTGATATATTTCTCATTCAGTTTTTCTCATATCATTTTCTTCTTCCAAAAAAAATAAGAGCGATTATTATAAAATTGGATTTATGTAAGATTATTTTTAATTTCAAATTTATTTAAACGATTGTCACCTTTATTTTGATTAACTTTGTTTTTCTTAACCTGATAATATATATATATATATATATATATATATATATATATATATATATATATATATATATATATATATATATATATATATATATATATATGATAGAGTGGGAGAGGCACTGTCAAGAAATTTTAATGAAAATAAGAAAAAATTTTGGAGTGAGTTAAACAAGTTAAGAAAGCCTAGGGAAAGTATGGATTTGTCAGTTAAAAACAGAGTAGGGGAGTTAGCAGATGGGGAGATGGAGGTATTAGGTAGATGGCGAGAGTATTTTGAGGAACTTTTAAATGTTGAGGAAGAAAGGGAGGCGGTAATTTCATGCACTGGCCAGGGAGGTATACCATCTTTTAGGAGTGAAGAAGAACAGAATGTAAGTGTGGTGGAGGTACGTGAGGCATTACGTAGAATGAAAGGGGGTAAAGCAGCTGGAACTGATGGGATCATGACAGAAATGTTAAAAGCAGGGGGGATATAGTGTTGGAGTGGTTGGTACTTTTGTTTAATAAATGTATGAAAGAGGGGAAGGTACCAAGGGATTGGCGGAGAGCATGTATAGTCCCTTTATATAAAGGGAAAGGGGACAAAAGAGATTGTAAAAATTATAGAGGAATAAGTTTACTGAGTATACCAGGAAAAGTGTACGGTAGGGTTATAATTGAAAGAATTAGAGGTAAGACAGAATGTAGGATTGCGGATGAGCAAGGAGGCTTCAGAGTGGGTAGGGGATGTGTAGATCAAGTGTTTACATTGAAGCATATATGTGAACAGTATTTAGATAAAGGTAGGGAAGTTTTTATTGCATTTATGGATTTAGAAAAGGCATTTGATAGAGTGGATAGGGGAGCAATGTGGCAGATGTTGCAAGTATATGGAATAGGTGGTAAGTTACTAAATGCTGTAAAGAGTTTTTATGAGGATAGTGAGGCTCAGGTTAGGGTGTGTAGAAGAGAGGGAGACTACTTCCCGGTAAAAGTAGGTCTTAGACAGGGATGTGTAATGTCACCATGGTTGTTTAATATATTTATACATGGGGTTGTAAAAGAAGTAAATGTTAGGGTGTTCGGGAGAGGGGTGGGATTAAATTATGGGGAATCAAATTCAAAATGGGAATTAACACAGTTACTTTTTGCTGATGATACTGTGCTTATGGGAGATTCTAAAGAAAAATTGCAAAGGTTAGTGGATGAGTTTGGGAATGTGTGTAAAGGTAGAAAGTTGAAAGTGAACATAGAAAAGAGTAAGGTGATGAGGGTATCAAATGATTTAGATAAAGAAAAATTGGATATCAAATTGGGGAGGAGGAGTATGGATAGTTAATGTTTTCAGATACTTGGGAGTTGACGTGTCGGCGGATGGATTTATGAAGGATGAGGTTAATCATAGAATTGATGAGGGGAAAAAGGTGAGTGGTGCATTGAGGTATATGTGGAGTCAAAAAACGTTATCTATGGAGGCAAAGAAGGGAATGTATGAAAGTATAGTAGTACCAACACTCTTATATGGGTGTGAAGCTTGGGTGGTAAATGCAGCAGCGAGGAGACGGTTGGAGGCAGTGGAGATGTCCTGTCTAAGGGCAATGTGTGGTGTAAATATTATGCAGAAAATTCGGAGTGTGGAAATTAGGAAAAGGTGTGGAGTTAATAAAAGTATTAGTCAGAGGGCAGAAGAGGGGTTGTTGAGGTGGTTTGGTCATTTAGAGAGAATGGATCAAAGAATAACATGGAAAGCATATAAATCTATAGGGGAAGGAAGGCGAGGTACGGGTCGTCCTCGAAAGGGTTGGAGAGAGGGGTAAAGGAGGTTTTGTGGGCAAGGGGCTTGGACTTCCAACAAGCGTGCGTGAGCGTGTTAGATAGGAGTGAATGGAGACGAATGGTACTTGGGACCTGACGATCTGTTGGAGTGTGAGCAGGGTAATATTTAGTGAAGGGATTCAGGGAAACCGGTTATTTTCATATAGTCAGACTTGAGTCCTGGAAATGGGAAGTACAATGCCTGCACTTTAAAGGAGGGGTTTGGGATATTGGCAGTTTGGAGGGATATGTTGTGTATCTTTATACGTATATGCTTCTAAACTGTTGTATTCTGAGCACCTCTGCAAAAACAGTGATAATGTGTGAGTGTGGTGAAAGTGTTGAATGATGATGAAAGCATTTTCTTTTGGGGGATTTTCTTTCTTTTTTGGGTCACTCTGCCTCGGTGGGAGACGGCCAACTTGTTGAAAAATATATATATATATATATAAACACTGATCTCTGGCTGAAGGAGACTTGAACCTACGAACCTTGGAACAAGGTACGCAGTGTTTTACCAATCTACCCACACTGGACCAGTACCTTGGAGTCCACCTTGCGCTAGACTTTGATCCAAGGCAGCCAGCTTTCAGGGAGAAGGCTTACAGCTTTCCATCTCATCCCCTGCATGCATCAGCCTTACTAGAGATATTAACAATGCAAGGAATTCGCAAGAGAGGCGAAATATACACAAACACTGATCTCTGGCTGAAGGAGACTCGAACCTACGAACCTATGAAAGCTGGCTGCCTTGGATCAAAGTCTAGCGCAAGCTGGACTCCAAGGTATTAGTCCAGTGTGGGTAGATTGGTAAAGCACTGCGTACCTTGTTCCAAGGTTCGTAGGTTCGAGTCTCCTTCAGCCAGAGATCAGTGTTTGTATATATTTCGCCTGCTCTTGCGAATTCCTTGCACAATATATATATATATATATAATATATATATATATATATATATATATATATATATATATATATATATATAATATATATATATATATATATATATATATATATATATATATATGTGTGGAACCAAGCTACACTTCCAGTCAGACTAGGAGGCATTGGTGTCCGCAAGTCATCACAGATTGCGTTACCTGCTTTTCTGTCCTCGTGTATTGCATCCAGAGAGCTTGTAGCAGCGATTCTCCCTGAACATCTTAGGGACAAGATTGGAGCCCAGGACCAAAAATTCATTGACGGAGCAATGATCTGGGATAATCTAACGGGCTCAGAAACCAGACCTGCTCCCCCCAACAACTACAAACAATCGCACTGGGATGGTCCAATAGTGGAAAATATAGCCTCAACGATGCTTCAGAGTGTGTCAGGGAAGGATAGAGCCCGCCTGCTGGCAGTGAGAGCCCCTCATGCTGGGGACTTTCTGTTGGCTGTTCCCAACTCCAGCCTTGGCACACGCCTCGACCCACAGACCATCCGCATCGGTGTTGCCCTTCGACTTGCCGCCCCTATTCTCGCCGAACACAGGTGTATTTGTGGCAGTGAAGCAGCAGACCGATTCGGGTACCATGGTCTTGTGTGCCGTAAATCCGAGGGAAAGATTGCAAGACATGAGGAGGTTAATAACATTATCAAGAGGAGCCTCACAACAGCTGGATGCCCAGCAGTAAGGGAGCCACCCCAACTATGCAGATCTGACGGCAGCCAGAAGCGTCCAGATGGTATCACCCTTCAAGCCTGGACAGCTGGGAAGCAGGTGGTGTTGGACTATACATGTGCATCTACCTTGGCTGATACCTATCTCCAATACACCAGGGAGGAAGGAGGGGCAGCTGCCAGCTTTAGGGAGTCCCAAAAGTCTAGAAAATATGGAGAACTTGCCCATCATTATATGTTTGTTCCCATAGGCTCAGAGACCCTTGGCTCATGGGGAAAGAGTGCATCTAATTTCCTTAAGGAGCTGGGAAAAAGACTCATCAGGGTAACTAGGGATCCCAGGGCAGCTAGTTTTTTGTTCCAGCGGCTCAGTGCGGCTGTTCAAAGGGGTAATGCATGCTGCATTTTGGGCACACGCCCCAGCTCTGAGGAGCTGGATGAGATTTTCGCCTTATAATCGGTGATACACACGTAACAACATGTACCGTATATGCCACCTTTATATCAACAATGTATCTCTTAAATCTTCTGTGCCATATTATGTAATAAAATATTCCTATTGGTAAAAAAAAATAGTTTAAAAGATGGGGTGGTAGGGGAAGTGGAATATTCAAATGGCTTCAGGAAGAAATCCAAATATTCTTCCTTGAAGCCTTTTTATCCACTATATATATATATATATATATATATATATATATATATATATATATATATATATAATATATATATATATATATATATATATATATATATAATATATTATATCGGTGGGAGACGGCCGACTTGTTGAATATATATATATATATATATATATATATATATATATAATATATATATATATATATATATATATATATATATATATATATATATATATATATTATAAATTATAAATTAACATAACATAAGAAAGCAGGAACACTGCAGCAGGCCTGTTGGCCCATACTAGGCAGGTCCTTTACAATTCATGACAGGTCCTTTACAATTCATTAGATAAGTTTAGATTTAGAAAGGACATAGGAAAGTATTGGTTTGGAAATAGGGTAGTTGATGAGTGGAACAGTCTTCCTAGTTGGGTTATTGAGGCTGGGACTTTGGGTAGTTTCAAATCTAGGTTGGATAAGTACATGAGTGGGAGGGGTTGGATTTGAGTGGGACTTGCACATCAGAGCTTATTTCTTGGGTAGCATTGAAAATTGGGTTGGTCAAATGTTTGTTAGTGGGATGAATTGTGAAGGAACTGCCTAGTATGGGCCAACAGGCCTCCTGCAGTGTTCCTCCCTTTTTTATGTTCATGTTTATGTTTATGTTTATATATATATATATATATATATATATATATATATATATATATATATATATATATATATATATATATATATATATATATATATATATATTGGGGCCAGGAGCTAAGGCTCGATGCCTGCAACCACATATAGGTATGTACACACAATTACTTACATAGCTAGACTGTCTAGCCTTTAAAACTAAATGGAGTATCGTGCCTGTAACCAGTGGTGTTAAATGACCCATACGGGTTTAGTTTTTTACATTAATATAATAACTAATAATTATACTGTACAGTTTACACAGACCAGGACACTTTAGTCTACACTTTATAACGACCAGTTAAGTCATCAGTCAACATGCTGAGGGCGGTGTAACAGAACGTTTTTGTTCAGTGTCGTTGTTGGGAGTGGCTGGAGGTGCCCTTTCAGGATACTATAGGAGACTGCCTCGTCAGGATACTGTGGGATGGTGTCCTGTAGAAGAGAATGTGTGCATAGTGCTGCGACATCACCTGCTTCTCCTCGACTTCTTGGACCTCGGAGTCGTTGAAACGGTACCATCTGAAGAAGTCCCAGTTCTTGCAGTAGGCTGTGTAGTGGCCGCCGGTCATCGACCCAGCGTGAGTACACACTCCATATAGTTCATACTGCCTGAAAACAAATCAGATATTAGCATACAAGGGTAACTTTATTATTATTATTGAAGACATATAGGTCAAATATTAGTATACAGGGGTAACTATTATCATTATTATTATACATAGGCACAACATACTTATCCTCAGCAGAATGAGTGAACTGAGAGAGGCTGAGTCTGTTTGCTGGGAAAGTAACTTCAGTTTTCTTGCCATAAGGCTTATCCTTGTTGAACCTGCAGATTTAAGAATAATTTTTCAGTATGAAAATGTAATTGTGTTAATGTATTAAAAAATAATAAATTAATATGAAAATTACATTAATATGCTAATAGTTTCATCAGTGAATTAATATGAATATATAAATTATATAGTAATTACCCAACAAAAGATATAATCTAATTTTTAAAGAGGTGGAGGGGTAAGCCAGTGGAAGGCCTCGGTCAGATGACCAAAAGCTCCAACTGTGGAGGTCATCACATGACCAAGACCCTTGTCAGGAAACACTTGTAGTTTCCTGACAAACCTTACCCAACCTAACCTAAAGACTATACCGTCAGGGGTGTATTTCCTTCATCGTTTATAAGAATCCAAAAATTCTTGTCCGGTGAAGAAGGTTACCAGACAGCCGAGAGGCTTTGAACCTCATTAGGTGAAGAAGGTTACCAGACAGCCGAGAGACTTTGAACCTCATTAGGTGAAAAAGGTTACCAGACAGCCGAGAGGCTTTGAACCTCATTAGGTGAAGAAGGTTACCAGACAGCCGAGAGGCTTTGAACCTCATTAACCAACCAAAATATTTAATATTCTTAATTCTACTGCAAATTATTTTTAATAATATTTGAATAACATCCTCTGAATATTTTTTCTGTTAAATTTCGTAGAATTTCAACTCCAACTGCACTGATTTTGCCTGTTAATATCTACGTTTTGTTTGTTTCTTATCAGTAGTAAACCTCTTAGTGAAGTTACTGACACACACACACAAATACAAGACCCATACAAGCGAAGTGTCTGTCGATAAATGTCTTTGACAAATGATAACTAAGATACCCACACCCCAGGTAATGGGTTGGCTGATGACAAATGATAACTAAGATACACACACCCCAGGTAATGGGTTGGCTGATGACAAATGATAACTAAGATACCCACACCCCAGGTAATGGGTTGGGTGATGACAAATGATAACTAAGATACACACACCCCAGGTAATGGGTTGGCTGACAACTATTCAGGGATGTACCCTCTAAGTCACTGATAATAATACCAATAGCAACAGTGGTAATACTTCAGAGTTACCTGCTGAGATGGATGACGAGGATGGACGGAAGGTGTTGGAGGGAGGTGCTGTGATGACACTTGTGTTCCTTCAGACACTGGTTACACTCCCAGTCAATCTGTTGCTCACGGTAGTACTTCTGCAGGAGGTCCTGGGTGATAGACAGTGGTGGGTTACACTCCTACAGTAACTCCTGGGTGATAGACAGTGGTGGGTTATACTTCTACAGTAAGTCCTGAGTGACAGTGGTGGGTTACACTCCTACAGGAACTCCTGGGTGATAAACACTGGTGTGTTACACCCCTACAGGAATTCCAAGGTGATATAGTGGTGGGTTACACTCCTACAATGCCTCTCCTACAGGAACTCTTGTGTGATAGACAGTGGTGTGTTACACTCCTACAGTACCTCTCCTACAGACACTTCTACAGGAACTCATGGGTGCGCGACAACATATCTCCTGACAAATGAGACGCGTGCAACATATGCGTGTCTTCGTCCACCAAAAGGGACTTGATCAGTGTAATGGCCGAGACAAAGCGGAATCAAGAGGTGGAAATGATAAAGTAATGCAGTAATAAATTGCTAACGAATTGTGGCCATTGTTAGTGGATCGTGAATGATTAATTCACAATTTTTGTTGAGATAAATAGTATAAAAAACCGACACGACGGAAAAAATCGACACAAATGGAATACGGTGCGATCCTTTGGCTACTTCCTCAGTGAACTTTATAAAGTCACAGATCTGTTTGTGACTTGATAAGTCCACTGTGTGGGCAAAACGTTGTCAATAAAGGGTCACATTATACTGCATTTGTGTTTATTTTTCCAGAATTTTTGTGACGATAATTACTGTAATGACCTTATAGTCCCGAGATTATTAAAATTATTTGTGATGTCAGTTTAGTGTAGTAGGAAGCCCACGTACAGTCACTCATTAAACAATACACAAATAATTCGCGCATAGAAGACACTTTTCACAAGATGAACATCAAAATGGTATACAATACCGACAGGTTGTTAGGTAAGACACATATGCAACAGTTAGACAACTTTATTCCGAAACGTTTCGCCTACACAGTAGGCTTCTTCAGTCGAATACAGAAAGTAGGCAGGAGCAGTAGAGATGTGAAGACGATGTAATCAGTCCATCACCCTTAAAGTCGTAGAATTTGAGGTTGTCAGTCCCTCGGCCTGGACTTCTCCAGGCCGAGGGACTGACAACCTCAAATTCTACGACTTTAAGGGTGATGGACTGATTACATCGTCTTCACATCTCTACTGTTCCTGCCTACTTTCTGTATTCGACTGAAGAAGCCTACTGTGTAGGCGAAACGTTTCGGAATAAAGTTGTCTAACTGTTGCATATGTGTCTTACCTAACACTTTTCACAAGGTTTCGGTCACACCTGGGCCATTGACTAGTCACAGTGTGACCACTCACTAGTCACAGTGTGATCACTCACTAGTCACAGTGTGACCACTCACTAGTCACAGTGTGATCACTCACTAGTCACAGTGTGATCACTCACTAGTCACAGTGTGATCACTCACTAGTCACAGTGTGACCACTCATTAGTCACAGTGTGACTACTCACTAGTCACAGTATGACCACTCACTAGTCAATGCGACCACTAACTAGTCAGTGCGACCACTCACTAGTCAGTGTGACCGCTTACTAGTCAGTGTGACCGCTTACTAGTTAATGTGACCACTCAGTGTGACCACTCATTAGTCAATGGTCCAAATCTGACCAAAACGTCGTCACGTCATTAAAATAGTGATCTTTCGATTTGGGTCTGAGACCCTCATCATCAGTGTGATGTATTCAAATTAACTATTATTGTGTCTGGGTCAGCATGTTGGCCTTTTTCACCAGTGACAAGTGATGTGATTTATGTTTCTTACTGGGTAGATCAACAGACCAGCAGAAGGCCTCGGCCATGAGACCGAAGATGAGGCTAGGTTAGGTAAGGTTTGTCAGGAAACAGGACAAGTGTTTCCTGTCGAGGATCTTGGTCATATGATGACCCGCATCTGAAGGTTTTGGTCATCCAACCGAGGCCTTCCACTGGCTTACCGGTCCAGCCAGTAAGAAAGCTTCATATCAAAAGAAATTCCCCCACTTCTAACAAATAAGTGTTATGTTTTTGGACCAATACTTGATGCTGAGGTGACTTATTGTCTGACTTACCTGTAAGTCACAGCAACCTGACTTGTTGACGGCGAGCGTTAGGTTTGAGAAGGGTTCGCTGACTTGGCAGATTATTTCTTCTTTCTTGGGGCAGGTGATGGTGGAGGTGTGTGTCCCGTGGAACAGTTTAGATACAAGGGAGACGCCTGTCTCGCCCTCCCCTCCGGCACCTTGTATCTGAAGTGACACAGTCAGGCAGCAGTCAGAGTGCTGCTGGTGTGAGACCACCAGACAAGGTGTATTACAAATACACACACACACACAGTGAAGAGGTGGGGCCAGGAGCTATGAATCGACCCTTGCAATAACAATTAGGTGAGTACTCACACACTACAAATCGATCCCTGCAACCACAAATAAGTGAGTACACTCCATAACAGCAGAGCAGCCAAAGAAAACTGAGTCTCCATACACCAAGACTGTATTTGCAACAAGAAGTCAGGTTAAGTCGTCTTACCTGCACCATGTCGTCATGCAGCCATTGTATCATCATGCTCATGAAATCGTGGGCCTCTTTTTGTTCGTAGTCCTGGAAGAGGTCATCCAGGCTGCCCACAGTTGTCTGGTTAAAGGCAAGAGAATGTCAAGAGAGAAAAGAGTAAAAGTCAGTGTCTAAGGAGTGACAAGTTTACTGACAGCTCAAGAGTTGAAAGTTTGTGTAACGTAGCTCCTAGGAAGATGACCACGATAGCTGAGTTATGCTCACCAGAACACATCACCTTTGAGTGAAGTTGTGCTATCTGCCTCTTATAATTTGTGAACTGCCCTGATTTCTGACCCCACTTCACTTCTCAACTTGCCCTTGAGGCTACATAACTATAATAATAATAATAATAATGATCAAGAGGAAAGACTAACCTTTAGTTTCTTGACTGCTTTGTGAAGGTCTTTACCGCTACTTAAAGCTCGTACCAATGTATCGTAGGACGACAACACCTTCCCTTTCAACATATTCGGACTTTTGCTACAAGGAAATATACATGCAAGCAGTGAGTGCCCAGAGAGGCGCAGTGAAGGCATATTCAGGGTGATGTCGAGCAATGGATGCATTGTTTCATTAATCTGTATCTGATACTTGATTCGTCTCTAGACTTTGTCAGAAGCAAAGTGTGGTCGAGAGAGAGAGAGAGAAGAAAGAGGTAGATATGGAGATAATATGAGAAAGTGAGATGGAGGAAAGGAGTGTGTGAGAGAGATAGGGGTGGAGTTAAGAGTTTCTAAAGATTGCAGGGATAAAAATTTTGTTGTGACCCACCTGAGAATGTGTTGTGTAAGAGGCTGGGAGTGGTAGAGGCACTGCAGGACGCTGTTCATATAGCAGGTGTTACCAAGGTTGGGGAGCCCGTGGGGAACCTTCTGAAGGAGATGACACAGAATTCACCACATTAAAAACTTCCAAACGCCAGGAAAAAAGATAAAGAATAAGTCTTGTTTCTGGATGATTGGAAGATATAATACAGAGAAGCAAGGCAAGAAAATGACACAGTAGAGAAACCTTCATTTAAACATTTCGCTAGGAAAAATACATGTAAGTGTCCCGTAGCTCGATTGCTAGTGCACTCAGCTCACACACTAGGGTCCTTGATTCGATCCCCGCTACGGGTGAAAACATTACGTGTTTCCCTAAGACACCTGCTGTCCCTGTTCACCTAACGGTAAAATAGGTACCTTTGTGTTAGTTAACTGGTGTGGGTCGCATCCCAGGGACAAAACTGACCTAATATGCCCGAAATGCTCTGCATATCAAAGGTCTTTCTATATAGTAGTATGTCATTGATGCCAGCTATGGTCTGTATAAGTTGTACATGTACTTACCTGGAGAGGGTTTCGGGACCAACGCCCCCGCGGCCCGGTCTGTTAGAATTATTAAAGTCTACTTATTACTCTAGTGTCTCGTTTTATTAGAGTAAATTAGAGTAGATCCTCCCAGGTGACGAGGCCTCAGGTGCTCACAATACATAAACAAAACATTACCTAGTATACAATGTCATGAATGTAGTGGACAAACTGGAATTTCCTTAAAATGTTCGAAAACCTTTAAAAACGTGAAAATATTGCAAAAAAAATCTTATTTCCTCCATTTTGTAGGAACGCTAGGACCCTAAAAAGGCCGCCGTGCAGCCAATTTTGAGTACAAAATATATATTTAACACCACCTGACGCTCGCATCCAGACAGCCATCTCTTGGTATCACCTGAGTCTAGTCTTGTTAAGTTCATCAGGTGCGTCCGGAGACGAATAAAGAGGATGGTAAGAGCTAAATCTATAATAATGTTCGTCACCACTGCCCTCTCCACCACCTGACTACCTCAGGTTACTTGCATGCTTTTGTAAGATGTTTTTGCTTATTTGCGATTGAAAACCACACTGTGGGTGAAATGTCGGATCATAAAATCTTTCTCTAGACTTTGAAACTAACCGTACTATATTGTAGCCAGCTGGTCCACTGGCTAACGCGTCGGTCTGGAGTTTTATGACTCTGATCGCGGGTTCTAACCCCGTCCGTGGTATGGTTTGCAATCGTGTCATTACGATTTCGTGAGTAACAGTACTGTATCTGACACTGTGTAACTAAAGCGGTACAGTCGTCAGATTGTAACTGCCAGGTTGTCAGCTTGTAACTGCCAGGTCGTCAGCTTGTAACTGCTAGGTCGTCAGCTTGTAACTGCCAGGTTGTCAGATTGTAACTGCCAGATCGTCAGCTTGTAACTGCCAGGTTGTCAGATTGTAACTGCCAGGTTGTCAGATTGTAACTGCCAGGTCGTCAGCTTGTAACTGCTAGGTCGTCAGCTTGTAACTGCCAGGTTGTCAGATTGTAACTGCCAGGTCGTCAGCTTGTAACTGCCAGGTTGTCAGATTGTAACTGCCAGGTTGTCAGATTGTAACTGCCAGGTTGTCAGCTTGTAACTGCCAGGTCGTCAGCTTGTAACTGCCAGGTCGTCAGCTTGTAATTGCCAGGTTGTCAGATTGTAACTGCCAGGTCGTCAGCTTGTAACTGCCAAGTCGTCAGCTTGTAACTGCCTGGTCGTCAGATTGTAACTGCCAGGTCGTCAGCTTGTAATTGCTAGGTCGTCAGATTGTAACTGCCAGGTCGTCAGCTTGTAACTGCCAGGTTGTCAGATTGTAACTGCCAGGTCGTCAGCTTGTAACTGCCAGGTAGTCAGCTTATAACTGCTAGGTCGTCAGCTTGTAACTGCCAGGTCGTCAGCTTGTAACTGCTAAGTCGTAGCTTGAGCCCCAGTAACGTAATTTTAATTATGTTACAGACTTATTTAATTACCCTGTGAGGTGAAGGCAATCGTATCTTCTTCTTGTTCTGTTTCCCCTGTTCATTTTGACGTTTGAGTTCCTCTCTCTGCTTCTTCTGTAGTTCTCCTTCCTTCTGCTGTCCCACTTGCCCTAGTTCTAAGTCCTGCTGCTTTGGGATAAGCGGAGACTGCTCCGTCTCTGTCTGCAGCTGCTGAGGGAGTGTTGACCCGGTGAGCTGCTGAAGACGCCTTAGTTCACGCTCCTCCTGTGTAAGATATATAGCTATCTCTCTCTCTCTCTATCTCTCATTGCTATTAATTTTACACTGTACACACACACACACATTATATATATATATATATATATATATATATATATTATATATATATATATATATTTATAATATATATATATATATATATATATATATATTAAAACATACAATAGCAACACACTGCTGGTTTACTCAATTTAGATTCGAACCAAGGAAGGGGAGGCCATCTCCACTTCCTTGCATCAAGAGCCCTTCACCGGAGTCAAAGCACACCCGTCTTTAATTTTTTAAAAGTCAAAATTCTTTGCATAAATTACCTGCGTTTTGAGCTTCAGGTGTTTCATCGAGTCGACCCGCCGCCTCGTCCAGTTTACCAGGGAGACTCCAATGGTTCGAACAACCCACACCTGTGATAACACACATACACACACACAAAGATTATAAAGTTACTTCCTAAAGATAGATTATCAATAATTGGATCATTAAAGATCTATTTTCTTGCAATAAGTTGAGTATTGAGTGATATTACTTAAGTAAATAAAAAATATCACTACAAACTGGCATAATGCCTGATAAGTGGAAAATGGCAAATGTAATACCTATTTACAAGGCAGGTGACAGGTCCTTGGCTTCGAACTATAGACCAATAAGCCTTACCTCCATAGTGGGAAAATTTATGGAATCAATAATTGCCGAAGCAATTCGTAGCTATCTTGACAGGCACAGATTGAAAATAATCCAAAAACGGTTTTTAAAAAGGGGGCGTTCCTGTCTTACAAAATTCTAATTTTTTTCACTAAGGTTTTTGAGGAGTAATCACGGTAATGAATATTTTGTGTTATGGACTTCAGAAAGGGTTTCGATAGAGTTCCAAACCAGAGGCATTGAGGAAATTTAAGGCCCCAAACGGAATAGGAGGAGAATTTTTTTCCTGGGTAAGAGGCATCGACAAATAGACACAAGGTTTGAAAATGGGGGGACATCAAAATGGGGGCACGTCACAAGGGGTTTTCCCGGGGCGTGTTGGGCCCGTGTTGTTCAAAAATTTAATAAACGACAAGATGGGGGAATAAAATACGAAAAAAAAGCAAATTTTCTATGAAAAAAAAAGGGTTTTTTAAGAGGAATAGAGATGGGATGATTTGAATAACTGTGATGGTGGAAATTTAATATTTAAAAAATTGAAAATGAAAGTTTTTTTTGGGGAAGTTAATAAAAATGTTTTAAAACTAAAAATGTAGATTTAATATTGATTGGGGGAAAAGGATTTGGAGTTTGGTTAAGTTTTTAAAAAAGGTGTTAGTGTTGAAAAGTAAAGAATTTTTGGTTCTTTGAAGATTAATGAAAGTTAGGTTTTTTAATTATTTTGGGGGGGTTTTTTGATAGGTTTTGGTAGTTTGGGGTATTTTTTAAAATGGGAGGTGAAATTTTATAAAATTTTAGGGATAGAGAGGTTTTGTTTGGGGGGGGGAAAAGGGGGGTTTTGGGAGGTTTTTAAATGGGTTGGGGGTAAATCGTTGAAAAATTTTGAAGAAGGATTGGGTTTTAATTTGGAAAAATTTGTTTGGGGATTAGGGTTGGTTTGTTTTGGTTTTATGGTGAAAATAGTCCCGGGTTTGGTGTTTTTATTTTAAAAATTTGGTTTAGAAAATAAGGGGGTTGGTTTGGTGGATAAAAATTTTGTGTGTGGGTTGGTGGTTTTTGGGGAGGGAAGGGGATGGGTGGGGGGGGGAAATTTTGGGGGGAGGGGGGGAAAAGGACCTTTTCCCCAGGGGTAGTGGTGTGAGTGTTGTTTTTTTTATTTTTTTTTTAAAGGGGGGAAAAATGTTATTAAAGAATTTTAAAAGAAATAAAAAAATTAGTAATTGTTTTTTTTTGGATCAATGTTTAAATTTTTGGGTTTTAAACTGTTTGGGTTTTGGGTTTTGTTGATAGAAACAGGTTGGGGTTTTTTTATTTTTATTTTTAAAAACAAAAAGAAGGTAAGGGTTAAAAAGGGTGGGGGGGAAGGAAGGAGGGATAGTGGAAAAGGGGAATGGGAGTTGGTTAGGATAAAGGGGGGGGTGTGGTGGGGGGTGGGGAAGGTTTAATAAAAGGGTGGGGGGTGGGTTTGGTTTGGGGATTTTAGGTGTAGGGGGGTGGGGAGGAAAAAAGGGGGTTGAAGGGGGAAAGGTGAGGAGGTGGGAAGAAGTTGGGGTTTTGGTGTTGTTGTAGAAGGGGGGGTTAAAGAATGTGGTAAAGTAGGAATTAAATGTAAGAAGGGAAAGGGTTATGAGAAATTTGGTAAGACGATGGGGGCCAATGCGAAGGGGGGAGAATGGTTTTCCCAATCGGACGATGACAAAAAACCCCAGAAACTATGCCGGTTTAAGAGAATAATTTGTTACCGAGCAGAGTTGACCAAACGTTTTTTCCCCAATGGGTCGGGGTGGGTAGCTTTTTGCAGAAAAATATCCAGAAATGGAACCCCTCAAAGGGAAAAATGGGTAGGTCATGTACTGCACTGCCACATGTCTGCCTGTTCATTGCCCTGTATCAAAAAGCCCAGGGCCCCCAAAAAAAACAATATCTTTAGTTTGGTAAGATAGGGCGTACCAAAGGGGGATACGGGAACTAGGGGATGGATTTTCAAATTTTCGTATAGCCTGTAGAGCAAAAGGGATCTGAGACTACTACAAATGATCCGGAAGATGCGATACGAAAAATGCGCAAGAAGGGCATACATTCAGCAAAAAAAAATGCTAGTGAAGATATAAATGCCCCCACCACGCTGCCCGGGAAAAACACTGCTGCAATCCGACACCGTTGAAGACTTAGAGCCATTTGTCACGCGGTGGCATAAAAAAGGGAGTGGAAGTGAAAAGAAAAAGAGAGGGGGAAGCCACCGGGGCATTGACTTTCGAGAAAGGGGAGTGAGAAAGAAAGACCCAAACGCTGGAATTTCCCCAGGGGGTAGGGAAAAGTGAGATGCTACATGAACTAAAAATTTTTAAACTGAAGGAAAAAAAGAGTGAATGTAGCGAAGAGAAAAGGGTTGAGAAAACAGGGGGGGGCGAAAATAAAGAATTCTACTAATAGGGTGACCATTCATAAAGGGGAAGGGATTGGTAGATCGTGAGAGCGTACAAGTAGCAAGGCAATGGGAAACACAGCGATCAACAAGGATGGAACATTCGTTTTCTGTAGAGGCTCTCACAGGGGAAGAGCAAAAAGCCCAAAGGCAAAAACGTAATCCTTGCTGATGGATAGAGTTAAGGCTAAGGAGTAGCGGAAGGCCACGGAATAAATCGGGTTCACCATAATCGTTTTTTCGATAAAACAGGGTAAATGTAGGCGAAGCAGATTTTCGACGATCAGCTCCCCGGGAAAGATGAAAAGGGGTTTTTTAAAAAGTTAAGGGCTGTGAAAATTTGCCTTCAGAGAGGTAATGTGATTTTCCAGGAAAACCGACGGTCAAGAGAAGGCCTAGAAACCTGACTGATCACGTTGGGGGGAACAGGAGCCATAGAGATACAAAGGATGATCGAGATAACAGGCTCTATGAAATTAATTTTGGTGAGTTTTGGTACTTAAAAATTTAAAACCCCCTGCGGGGTGGCCCCAAGTGGAAAAACGGTCGACCGCATGTGGAGAGAAACTGCAATAAGGTGACGCAGCGCTGCAAACAATAGCAAGTCATCAACATAGAGTGATGACCAAAATATTGGGGGGAAGAACAGAGGCCAAAATCATTTATAGCAAGGAGAAAAAAGTGTTGTCTTAGAACACACCCTGGGGGAAAAACCTTCATTTGGGACGAAGCCCGGGGGAAAAAACATTTTTGACCGAACAGGGAAATGTCGCATTTAAAAAAGTTTTTAAAGGAAGGTGGTAGATTGCCCGGGGGCCCTAAGGAAGGGGCCCCGGGGCCAAAAAAATTTTAACCCTCCAAGTTGTGTCATTCCCTTCCAAGTCAAAAAATAGGAAATAACTGAGTGATTATTCGCAAAGGCATTACGAACATATGTATCCAAGCGTAGTAAGGGTTATGGTAGAACCCCTTACGAAAGCCATATTGACTAGCAAGACTTTTATGTGTCTCTAAATACCACTTTAAACATCGATTTACAACGTTCCATCACTTTGCAAACTGCACTATAAAGCAGGGGCGTAGTGGAGGCATCATGTCCTTGTACCCGTTTGCAGAAGGAGAACAATGGCAGTTTCCACAGTGGGAAAACTCCTTGTGCCCAAATAAGATTGAAAAAGGGTTAAGAGGGCTACAAGGGCTGACCGATTAAATGTTGAACAACGAATATGAAAGTCGTCAGGCCCCGCTGCCGATGTCGGCGCGAGACGTGGCTCCAGTTTTTGAAGTGTAAAAAGGCCATTATATGTTTCTTCCGAGGAAGAAAAGCCAAGGGTACTAACCCCCTTGGGAGCTTTGAGGAAAAAAAAACGAGGGGCATGATGGAGCCCCGGGGAAAAAACGGACCAGAGTGGCCAATCAAAGGGACCGTCGAGAGGGGTTTTCACATCAACACCACGACCCCTAGAACAGGGGCCGGGTCAGGAGGTATTTCCACTCAATTCCTCACTTTTTTCCAGAATCACTCAAAAAAAAGCGAGGTAAAGGTGGAAACATAGTTCTCGCCAACAAGTGCTTTACTTTCCCGGGTACATGGCGGCGATCGCACCTTCTCTTAAAATCAAGAAGTCTCGCAGCGGTTTTATGTACCGGTCCTGCCCCATGCAGCCTTTTCAAAGTACTGCACGAGCACAACCAGGAGCACCAAGGCACGCACTTCGAGAATGCCTGCCTGAGGTTTGGGGTAAAAAGAGAAGCTCGGGATAAACGACGTCAGAAATGTGTAGGAGCTCATCAATGGAGGATTGAAGAAGGAACCCCACTAAAAGCATAGGTGGGTAAAGATCCCAATTTTCCCATCAAAATTTCCAGCGAGGGGTACGGAAAAGGGGGGGAATAGGAAGGGGAAGTAAGAATATCGGAAAAAGATCGCTGTCATGTAAGTCGGTAGACAACCAGGGAAGCTAGTGCAGTGGAGGGAAAACAGCTGATAGACTGCACGAGAGAGTTGGTTTTCGGGATCCCAAAAAGGGTGGGGTACCCGTATTTAAAACATGGAGGGGTGAGAGGCGAGAAAAAACCTCCAATGGATGCCCCGGAGTCAAAATAGACCCCCCCCCCCGAGGAAAATGGTGGGCATTAAAACACCCAATAACAGAAGTGTGGCGGTAAGGATGAAAAAAAAAAGGCAAAATTGGATAGAAAATGCCCCGGAAGGGGAGAATATAAGAAAATATTGTAAACCACTTATTCAAATGGAACGGGGGCAGTGTAATGGAGCGGGTATGGACAAATAGTTGACAAACGGAATATATTCATAGAAGAAGGGGACTTTCATTTAAAAGGGCCCCTCTGAGAAAGGATCCGAAGTACAATAAAAAAAGCCCGAGATAGGGTTGGAAAACAGCCGAGTGTAATTTTGGTTTTTTGTAAGCAAGCACCAAAAGGGGAAAAAAGGAAAGCAACATCTGAAGCTCACCCCCATTACCCCCCGAGGCCCAGATATTCCATGTAAAAGGCCATGATTGGGGATGAAGAAAATATCAGGAATCTGTAGGAAAGGCACCTACAGACTAAGGGGTTAAAAAAGTCAAAGTGGGGTGGCTTTTGGGAAAACGTTCAAGTAGAGAAGGGCGACTTTTCGAAAATGGGGGTTTTGAAGATGGAGGAGAGGGAAGAGAAGGACAGGAATAAAACATGTCCATGAAGGTTTATTCTGCAAAATTTTTTAAAAGGCTTTAAGTTTTCTGAAACAAAGATGTATGGGAGACCAATTGAGTAAAGGAGGAGGTGATAAAAATTGGGACAGTAATGGACTTACCCAAAAATAGAGGGGGAGGGAAAGTGTAAGGGACGGAGATGAAGTTGGGGGGGACAGAAAAGGGAGAAACCTGGGAGGGGGGCAAAAAGGGAAAACTTGGGAGGGGATGGGGGTGGAAGGCAAGTAGAGGAGGAGGGTGAATCTAAACACTTGTAATAGAGCCGAAGAGGGGAAGAACTAGGTAAGGGGAAAGGGTGGGGGGGTGGGGGGGGGGAAGGAAGGGGGAAATAAAGTGTGGATTTTTTGGGGAGAGGGGGGCAGGAAGGTTCGACAAGGTTTTTTTGGGGTTTAGGAAGGGGGATTTTGGAAAAAGGTTTTCCCTAACCCAAGGCCTGTTTTATCCTGGGGCTTGGGGGGGGAAAAAACCGAGGGGGCTGAGAAAGGGGCCCCCAAATGGGGGGGAGTTGGCAGGAAAAAAAAGGGGTAGTTTGGGTTGGGGGGGGAAAAGAACTGCCCAAAAAGGGGGCCCGTTTTTGGGGGGATTTGTTTTTGGAAACTGGAATAGAAAAGGGTAGTTCTTTTAAAGGGAAAATGGGGTTACTGCAAGATAAGAATTTCGGGGGCCCAAACGGGATTTCGGCCCTAAACTGCAAATTTTCGGGGACCCAAAGAGCTTTTACATTGGCGGTTTAGGGTTACTTTCGAATTTTTAATGTGTCCCCCGCAACAGAGGGATTTCGGTCAAATTTTAAAAAAGGGAAATTGCTGGGGGAAACCCGCCCCCCGGGGAAAACTAATTTTCTTTTTGGAATCCTTTTCCACTTTTTAAAAATTCATTTCCCGCGGGAAACATATTTTCAGAAGACAGTTCCCTCAAAATTAAAAAGAGCAATGAAGGGGGAACGTTTTTTGGGGAGAAAGACATAGTGGGTACTTTGGGGGGGAGATGCCTAGCCCAAGCTGAAAAAATTCTTCCACATGACCGGGGGTTTTCAAAAATTTGGCAAAAGGTAGGGAAAAAGAAGTCCAAATAAAGATTTAGGGATTTTTTTCCAAAATAGGGGGAAGGATTTTAGGTTTGGTTTTTCCGGAAAGGGAAGGAAGAAGATCAAGGGGTTGGGTTGGGGTTTGGAGTGGACAGATTTTCCGGCTTTTTGGGTGGGGGATTGAAAAATTCTGAACCTAGAGGGAAAGCCAAATAGTCAAAGAAAGGGGGGAGTTTTTAAAAAAGAAAGTCCCGTGAAACCCCCCGGACCCGAAGCGGGGGAGGAAAAGGCGAGGTCGGGGCCTTTGCCGAAGAGGGAAAACAAAGGCATCAGAAGGGGCTTAAAAAGGGGCCCAGGGGTTTGGTGGTGATGGTTGGGGACCCTTTTCTTTTTTTTTTAAAAAAAAAAAAAGAAAAAAGGGAAAAAAAAAAAAAAAAAAAGTAAAAAAGGGGGAGCGGGGGAAATTCCCCGGGGGAATGAAGGGCCGGAAACCCCCCGGCCCAAAAGGGACCCCGCAACCAGAGGCCCGGCACAGGAAATGCCAAATTTGCCTAAACCCCAACCCGGTAAAAATTGCGGTATCGGGAAAAAAGGGGGGGGGTATGGGCCCAAAAATACCCCCCTTGTAAACCCCCAAACCGGGTGGTTAAGAAAAGGGAAAAAAAAAAAATAAAAAGGGGGAAGGGGACGGGAAAAGGAATAAATTCCAGGAAATAGCCCCCCCAAGAAACCTCCGGAAGGGGGGACCCGGGCCCCCTATAGGAACAGTGGCCGTGGGAAAACCCAAACCAAAAAAAACAAAAATTAAGGGGAAAGGAAAAAAGGGGGGGGGGAGGATGGGATAGGGGAGGGGAGAATGAGGTGTAATTAGGTTCGGTCTGAGGAAGAAGACCGACAGGGCTAATTCCTCAGACCAAGAGCCTCTTCACCACGCCAAGGAGCCCCCTTGAAGAGGAACTGCCTCATATAGGCCAGTAGGACTACCGCAGTGTTTCATTTTCTTAACTCAACGTAGCATACATTTATACATAACAAGAACGTGACATTAATCTATCCTATATATTAGTTACAGACCCAGAATATAACCTAGCTATGGTTTCCTGGTAGTGTGTGGAATAAAACAAATAACAGGTGTCCTCCCCTAGTGGCGGACCTAGCCGAGGTCAGGTAAGGTTTGTCAGGAAACCGGACAAGTGTTTCCTGAAGCGGGTCTTAGTCATATGATGATTTACAGCTGGAGCTATTGGTCATCTGACCGAGGCCTTCCGCTGGCTTACCCCTCCACCCCTTTAAAAATTCAAGTTATGATTATACCTTTTTTTTTTGGGTGATAAGTTTTGTTTTCAGTATTTGTAGTTACATTTATTAGTATTATTACTATGAATGTATTGAAGGGAGAGTTATAAGGAGTGACGTAACTCTGGACAGTAGCTTTTATACTCTAAAATATATTCTGTATGTACTTCTTAGTATATATACCTTGGTGACCCCGTGGCCTGGCTGGCGAAGCTCTCGCTTTACACACGGAGGGTCCGGGTTCGATCCCCGACGGAGTAGAAACATACACATTTCGACGCGTTTCCTTACTCCTGTTGTCCTGTTCACCTAGCAGCAAATAGGTACCTGGGTGTTAGTCGACTGGTGTGGGTCGCATCCTGGGGGACAAGATTGAGGACCACAATGGAAATAAGAGAAAGTCCTCGATGATGCACTGACTTTCTTGGGTTATCCTGGGTGGCTAACCTTTCGAGGTTAAAAATCCGAACGAAATCTCGTCTACCAGGTCCTTATCAATACCCGCTTGGACAAATAGTCAGAAAAATAAAAATAAAAGCCAGAATGTGCCATCTTGCTCACCAGATTTCTCCGTCGGCACTGGAAAACCCGCTGTTAAACCCTTTGTAAAACTTATAAGATAAGATATAAAGCATATCTTATCTTACAAGCATGTAAGGAATATCCGTTAACACTCTTGGCTTGGAGAGAAACAGAAAATGACTAAAATATATATTTTAAACACAAACTGAAGAAAAATTAAATATCTTTTAAAATTGGAAAATTGGGTGATTTTTTTTTCCTTCTAAATCCGTACGTTCTTAGAATCTTCAATAATGCTAGAAATAATCAGTTTTAAATTAAACTACTGTACAAGATATATTCACTAAGGTGTGTTTGTTTCTCAGAATATATGCATAAAGAGCTTTCTTTAATCCTTGTTATAGGGATAAAATATTTGTGTTAATATTTAAATAAATATGCATTGTATACAGTCCACTTACTCTTCGTAAATTAACTTATTGTTTCTAGCCATTTCTATAAACCTGGTTTTATTCTCCGTCAGGTTAGGTAAGATTTGTCAGGACACAGGACTAGTGTTTCCTGACGCGGGTCTTAGCAATATGATGACCCACAGCTGGAGTTTTTGGTCATCTGACCGAGGCCTTCCACTGGCTTACCAGTCCAGCCCTTTTAAAAATTAAGGTTATTATAACCATAAATAATTGACCTCAATGTTTGAGGGAGGACCCATTCACCTACAATTTCACACTGAAGAATAAATTTAACTCGACATAAAACATAATGGGCTTTAAGCCCAATTAACCAACCATATTACAGGTACATCAGAAGGAGGGAACTGCTACCATTTCTCAATAATTCTTGTTTTTTTTTTCTATTGTTGGGTAGATTTAATGGAATGTCCAGTTTTGTAAAAAATAATTTTAAAAAATGGAAATAAAAAAGGGGGTTTTTTTTTTTTTTTGGGGGTTTCCCAAAGGGGAAAAAAAAACCCCAAAATTTTTTTTTTTTTTTCCCCCCCGGGGGGGGGGTTTTTTTAAAAAAAAAAAAAAAAAAAAAGGGCCTTTTTTTTCCGGGTTTTCTTTTTTCCCCCCGGGATTTAAATTTTTTTTTAAAAGAAAAAAAAGGGAAAAAAAAAAAAAAAAATTTTTTTTAAACCCCTTTTTTTGGGGAAAAAAGAAAAAAAATTTTCCCCCAAAAAAAAAAAAAAATTTAAAAAGGAAAAAAAAAAAATTTTTTCCCAAAAGGAAAAAAAAATTTTTAAGGAAAAAAAATTTTTTAAAAAACCCCAAAAAAAAGGGGGGGGGAAAAAAAAAAAACCCAAATTTTTTTTCCCCCCCTTTTTGGGAAAAAAAAAAAAAAAAAAAGGGGGGAAAAACCCAACTTTCCCCTTTTTTGGGGGGAAAAAAAATTTTTTTTGGGGTTTAAAAAAGGGGTTCCCCAAAAAAAAAAATTGTTTTTTTTTTTTTCCCCGGTTTTTTAAAAAAGGGGGGGCCCAAAAAACCCCCCCCTTTTAAAAAAAAAATTAAAAAAAATTTTTAAAAAAAAAGGGGCCCCCCCCAAAAAAAAACAAAAAAATTTAAGGACAAAAAAAAAAGGGGTTTTTTTAAAAAAAACCCCCAAAATTCCCGGGGGGGAAAGGAAAAAACCCCCCCCTTTTTTTTTTTTTTAAAAAAAAAATTTTGGTTTTAAAAAAACCCCAAAAAAAATTTTTAAAAAAAAAAAAAATTTTTTTTTTTTTAAAAAAAATTTTTGGGGGGGAAAAAAAAAATTTTTGGGGGGCAAAAAAAAAAAAAAGGGGGGAAAAAAAAAAGGGGGGGGAAAAAAAAAAAAAGGGGCCAAAAAAAAAAAAAAAAGGGGCCCTTTAAAAAAAATTTTTAAAAAAAAAAACCCCTTGTTTGGGGGGAAACAAAAAAAAAAAAACCCCCCCGGGGGAAAAAAAAAACCCCCCTTCCCGGCCCCCTTTTTTTGGGGGGGTTGAAATGTAGCTGGTGAAAGGGGGCGCTGCCCCCCCCTTCTTCAGCGCCACTCCGTCCCCCGCCAGCTGGTTGTTGGCTTCCGGTTTCTGGAGCAGGGGGAAATTGGGGGGTTCCCCTCCCTTTTCCCTTCAAATTTGGCCGTGGTCCACAAAATATCTCCCGCACTGTCACCCCTGACCGGGCTGCTGGCCCCCTGGGCCGCCGTTCCAACCTGGATTTTGATGGATTGGGGGTTTTAAAAATTGAATGTGAAAAAGTGGTTTTTGTTTTCTAGATCTCCTCAAGGGGGGGTACCTAAAATTTCTGGGGAGGGGACTTTTACTAAGGGGAATTTTTTCTTACGGGTTTTTCCCTTTTTCGCGTTTTAAAACCCGATTACCTTCATCCCTTAAAGTGGTGCCGGATCAAATCGGGCTGTGGTTCGTATGTTGGACTACGTTTAGGGGCCCGTAGCAAAAAGCCTGGTTGGGTCAGGTTGATCCCCCGGTTTGGCCCTAGTCGGGACCGGGCCGCGAGGGGGGGTTTTTTTTCCCCCAATACCGTCCAGGTAGGAACCCCCGGTAGGTAGGGGGATCTCCAGGCTTGGTCAAGAAAAATAGCCCCGGGGGCGTTTAACCCCCCGGTACCTTCCAGGTAGGTGAGTAAATTTTTCCCCTCAGATTTTAAATTAATTTTCCCTTTTATTCTCCCTGATGACTCCCGGGGGGTTTCGGGTTCCCCCAAATTTAACCCCAATAACGGAAAAACACCTTTTTATGTTTTAGGTGCATGGGGCGTTTAATATTGGGTATGAACCAAACTGGTCGACCACCCGGCTGTAAAACCCTGTGGGGGATATGGAAAGCCCCGTCCCCCGCAAAATTTTAAAAATTTTTTTATTAAAAATTTTTTTTTCAAAAATAAATGGAATTTTTAATTATTTTGGAAGTTTTTGTTTTTTGCTAAAATTAAAAAAATTTTAATGGCAAACAATAATTTTAGTAAAGGTTTGTCATAATAAAATTATTTGAAAATATGTACTTATTTAAAATTTTTTACTGAGAAGTTGTATCTCTTTGTTTATATACACCAAAAGGGGGGTTTTTTAGGGTTTTTTTACACAGAAGTGTGTATCTGCCCGGTGTATTTTATATATATTAAAATATAATATTTATATATATATTATATTATATATATAATTTATAAAAATATATATATTATATATTAAATATATATATTAAAACACTGGCCCTTTTCCCCCAAAGGGGGGGTGGCCCCAAAAAAAAAAAACTTTTTACCACCATTTACTCCATTTACTGTCTTGCCCGAAGGGTGTTTACCCCTACAGTTTTTAAACTGCAAAAATTTAACCCCTCTTCAGAGTGGGGGCACTGTACTTCCCTCCCGGGGCTAAATTCCGGTGCCGGTTTCCCCGAACCCCCCCCATAAATTTTTTACTTTGCTCAAAACTCCCAAAAAGCACGTCCAAGTTTTAAAAACAATTTTGTCCCATTCACTCCTATCAAACACGCTCACGCATTGTCCCAAGCCCCCGCACACAAAACCCCCTTTTCCCCCCCCCTCCAACCTTTCCCAGGCCGGACCCTACCCAGCCTTCCCCTTTCCCCACAGATGATACACTCTTGAAGGGATTTTGCTTTTGCTCCTTCTCTCAATGTTCCCAACCACCCCAAAAACCCCTTTCCCCAGCCCCCCTGGACAAAAAGTTTTGGAAAACCCGCACCTCCTCCCAACTTCCAAACTACGAAATTTTCTGCATTTATTCACACCACCCAAAATTTCCCTCAGAAATGACATCTCCCCTGCCTTTCCCGCCTTCTCCCCGCCTTTCAAAAATTCATATTATATAATATATTTTATTTTTTTTATATATATATTATTTTTTATAATAATATTTATATATATAATATATATAATTTTTAAAAGGGTTTTAATATTACTTTATAAAATTTTTTGGAACCCCGGTTTTCCTTTACTTTAGAGATCCCCAATCAACACAATGACCCTGGAGAGGGTTTCGTGGGGGAAAGCCCCGCGGCCCGGCTGTAACCCGGCCCCCTGGGGTCAGGACCTGATCAACCCGGTGTTATTGGTGGCCGCACGCTGGGCCGGAAACCCACAGCCCCCCCGGGTGATCAGGTGCTGGAACTTTAGGTGTCTTTCAGGGGTCGTTGGTAATATTTCATGTATGCTGGGAGGAGTTGAACATCTTTGGCCCCTTGACACTTATGTTTTGGCTCTAAGCATACTCGTGTATTCATTAGGTTTTTAAAACCCTTAATAAAAAAATAAATTTTGTGTTTCCTCTTCAGAAAAAAACAGCCCCGTGTTTTTAAAAAGAAAAAAAAAAAATCACAAAATCAGCAAGAGTTATTAAAGCAGTGCTGGTTAAATGTATGAGGTTAAACAAAAACATTTTGGTCCCCTTGAAGACGATTGTGAGTTATTGAAGGTTTGGTTGGTGTAAGACAGAGGTAAAAATTTTGGGAAACCCGGAGGGAAAGACAAGTAGGAAAGTGTTCTTCTCTTTTCTCTCTTCTCTCCTCTCTCTTTTCCTCCTCCCCTTCTTCTTTCTTCTCTCTTCCTCTCTCCACACACAACGCCACAAACCTACCTGTGTCTTTCCCCGTGATCTCTGCTTTGGCCTTGTAGAACTTTGACAAGTCAGTGTGGACCTGCCAGGGCAGCTGGTGGGGGGCCCCCGGCGACCTGTTATCAAAAAGGTTACTTACTGCCTTTATTGTTTAAGTCACAAACTAATTTTTTTACCTCAAAAAAAAATATACACTAATTTATAAAAAATCGTAATAAACTAATTTATTTATCTCTATAAATCACACGCTATTTTCCCCAATAAAAAATCCACATTAATTTACTCTTCTAATTTTTTAGATCTGAAATTGGCTCGTGGATCGTGTTGGTCTGTATTTCATTTAAAAATGTTTCTAGTG